TTACTTTGCTGGGGTTTGGAATTCAGAGTGGGAAAGTATTCTTCACTATGTATATCAGGTGCGATATTCCTTCCTCGTGGTCGTGGACTAGTAAACGTAGATTGATTTCTTAAATGTGGTGCTTTGTAACTACTTCCTGTGGATACTACTGTGGGTGGTGCTGGTGGTGCTACTGTTACTTCTGGAGCTTCCGGTGGTAGATCTGGTTTCTTCCAGGGTCCTGTATGTTTTGTGCCACCCTCACCAGATTCCCCATCAGAACTGTTTTCACCAGTGCCCCTTTCGTCATCCGACTCTGCATCTATGCTGTCATTTACTGTCAAATGCCCAATCTTTAGACCACTATAATCCTTTTTTTCCTCCTCAAATTCTTTCCACTCGTCCTCATCCTAAAAAAAAGATATATTTGTAATATTCCTATTGCGCATCCATCTTAAAAATTTCTCGAATACTTTTGGATTTTAAATAATTTTTAGACACATAACTGACTCATAATGCATTTATAATCGACAAAATCGATTTTAGAAGAGCATGTATATATACATAATCGCAGAAGTAAAATCCTGTTAATTCAGAATATCATAATTTATAACAAATATCTCTCTTTGTGCCAGTTGTTTCAAATATAACGCATTCGCAAAGAATCACAGAAGTTGAACACAAGAAACACCGCATCCACGAGGATGTCATTCACCAGAGGATGATCCGGAGTACACGTGCTCGGAAACAGCTGGCGTGACAGACCACTTCGCGTGTTCGGTGATTACATAAGGCGCGTCCAAATGTTTAAAGAACCTCGCGCATCATCGTCGTCGGCTACTCCACGCAACTCTATGATGTTTTCGGGAACAAACATGGCAGCGTCGTGCACGACGATCACGGATCCCGGAATGTACACTAGGAAAACGCGTGAAATGGATCGTTGCCTCGTAGCCGTCTCACCTCGGTGTGCTGAGACTCCTCGCCCTCGGGATTCACTGGCTTCTCCTTCGGCTTGGGCTTCTCGATTCGCTTGCCCGTCTCCTCCAGCTTCTTGGCGACATCGTCGGTCGTGGCGAACTTCTTGCCCTTGGCCTTCTTACGATCCTTTTTAGCAAAAAAGTCGTCCAAGTCCGCCATGGTGACGCGACAGAGTCCGGATGACGCGAGAACCGAGGGGGGATGAACTCCGACGTGCAAGAGCGCGTGAATAGTAACGCACCAAGAACACACCGATCACGGACTGATCTGGGTCTTCGCTGCGA